GCCCCAGGGCCAGCTTCTTGAGGAACCTGCTCGTGGCTTGTTGGTGTGTCCTCCTCATGTGGCGGGGTGGGAGAGGCTCCTGCTGTCCTACGTCTCTTCTAAGAGTACAGTCCCATCGAGGGCTCACCCTCTTGACCTGGTTACCTCCCAAAGGCCCCGTCTTTAGCTCATCACAGTAGGGATTGAGGCTTCAGCATGAGTTTTGGAAGGACACGGATGTTCAGCTCATTACAAGATAGCTTGACATATCTACAGCTATTTGAAGGGGCTGGCTTTTTTTTTTTTTTTTTTTTTTTTTTTGGCAATACCTGTTTTCTGTCTTTTTAAATAGTTTTAAAATCAACATCCTGATTTGCTTATTGTAGAAACAACTGGAAGCATGGCTAAGCAAAATAAGACTGAAAATGACCAGTGACCTTTCTACCCTGAGATGACACATTCGTAACAGTGTCTGAAAATCGTGATCACATTTGTTCAAAGCTAACAATGTGATCATTTAAAAATATATCCTGCTAGAATCTTTTTTCTATATATGCATTTAGAGAACTTCTCCCCTGTCTCCATTCTTCCTCACCCCTCCTCACCCCTTCCTTCCCTTTCTCCCTCTATTCTAAACGTTATACTTTGTATTCCAGTATAATTCGAATACAAAAGTAAGGGGAGTAGTGTAATAAAATATTGCTTGGGATCTATGACTGTTACCACTTTGGCCTGTCCTGATTATCTCTTCCTTACATTCTGCCTCCCCTCTCAAAAACTGACTTTTGAAGGTTCTTCAAAAACTTCATATTATGGGGACCAGCAGATGGCGTAATGGCTACGTTGCCGGACTCCCATGTAGTCAGCCACGGTTCGAGTCTTGGACCCAGTGGCTTAAATTCATGCCGGGTGCCTGTGTGTGCATGCCCAAGATCCCAAGAGGAGAATGGAGGAGAAGGGATTGTGGCATGGCCATACCTCCTGGGGGGTGATTTCTCACTTTCTGTCTCTCTGCCTCTCTCTGTCTTTCTGGTGAGTGCACGCGCCCTATTGCAAACACCTCTCAAAAACAAAACAAAACAAAACAAAACCTAACAACAAAAAAGACTTCATATTATGAAAAACTACATGATTTCAAAATTGTTTTGTACCAAAATGTAGTTTAATTCCATTTTTCCACAGATTGTTTTTAAGTCCTCATATATGTTTAAGCAAATCCCAGGTAACATGTCATTTGGTTTGTAATTTCTTCATCACCATGTTATGTATCTTTAAAAGGTAAGAAGTCTTTTTAAAAGTACAAAAGCATCATCATACGTTATAATAATATTATCATAGAAATAATTTGTTTCTATCATTTATTGACTGTTCAAAATTTTCTGATTATGTCTTTCTTTTTTTAAGTGGTTGATTCATTCAACTCAGTATCCAAACATGGCCCAGACGTTGTATTTTGTCGGTATACTTTACCCTCACCTCCGCCACCACCACCACCGTTTTTCTCCTTTCAGTTTATTTGTTGAAGAAATCAGGTTGTTGGGAACCAGCAGTTAGCGTAATGGCTATGTCGCTGGACTCCCACGTAGTCGACTGCGGTTCGTGTCCTGGACCTGGTGGCTTAAAACTCACACCAGGCGCGTGTGCGTGCGTGCCCAAGATCCTGAGAGGAGAATGGAGGAGAAGGGATTGCAGCGTGATCATCCCCCCTGGGGGGTGATTTCTCGCTTTCTGTCTCTCTGTCTCTCTCTGTCTGTCTGGTGAGCGCACGCGCCCTACAGTGAAAATCTCTCCAAAAAAAAAAAAAAAAAAAGAAATCAGGTTGTTTACATTAATAGAATTTGCCACGTTCTGGAAACGTTCTTGTGGTGGTGTTTAGCCTATGTCGTAAAATGCGAGTATGTTTCCACCCTCTTGTTTTATTCAACCCACCTTGTTTTGTTTTGTTTTGTTTTGCTATAGAGTGTGTGTACGTGCCAGAGGGGGGCGAGAGAGAGAAAAAGCACCCTGGGGCTGGCCATGTTGCAATACGTGCCAGAGGGGGGCGAGAGTGAAAAAGCACCCTGGGGCTGGCCATGTTGCAATCCCTTCTCTGTTCTCTTCTTGAGATTTTGGCATGCGTACCCATGCCTGGCATGTTTTTCCAAGCCATTTGGCATGAGTACCCATGCCTGGCATGTTTTTCCAAGCCACTGGGTCTGGAACATAACTAACCGCTCAGTTGTGTGGGATCCAGCCACCCTAACCATCAAGCCACCCGATGGCGCCCGATCCCTGTATTTTATATGTTGTCTTCTTTTAGATTTATTTAATTTTTTTTTTTTTTTTTTAAGATTTTTGCCATAGAGCACATGTTCTCTCTGGAGAGAGAGACAGAAAGAATGGGAGGGAAGGTTAGAAATCACCCCTCAGGGGACTGGCCAAGACACAGTCCTTTCTCCTCCCTTCTCCTCCCAGGATCTTTGGCATACTCACACACATGCCTAGCAGGATTTTCAGGCCACCAGGTTCAGAACTTGAACTGTGATTGGCCATTTCAGAGTCTAGCATCTTAACCACCATGCCACCTGCTGGTCTCTCCTTCCTCTTTTGATTTTTTTTTTTTTTTTTTTTTGCATCTATTATATTGTTAGTTCCAGATTTTCTTAGCTCTCCCCCAGAGATTAGAGAAATTGTCTAATGCATCCTTGACTCTTACCATTTCTCCAGCAATGCTGGGATCTTTGACAAACTTTACCTTTTCTTCAGTCTTTCATGTGATTGTTGAGTGATGAACTCATGAATTTTAATGTATTTCATGTGTTTAAATCCATTGTAGTTTTTTTTTTTTAAATAGTCAATTTATTTTCAGAATAACTGTATACTTTTAGACATCAAAATTAGGGCTGTATTGTAGGTTTGTGGTGTTTTCTTTTTCTTTCAGGAAGGATGTACTCCTAGGCACCAGCCTCACCTTAGCTCGCTAATATCTCTCGTCACCAAGTCTGTAACCTGTCTACTTCCCATGGTCCCCACGGCCCTCCTCTCCCTAGGGCCACCCATCAACCAGTGGCCTCCAGCCTCAGTGAAATGACTACAGGGACTTCCCGCTGGCTTCTCCGGCTTCCTCTTGCCCCCTCCGTGTCAGTCTCCTCACTGAAGCACCGTAGTGCCCTCTGGTTTCACACACGCCCCACAGGTCCCTCCATG